AGGCCAAGGGGCAGTGGGTGCAGGTTGCAGCGCAGGCAGCTCCATGTGGCCGTGAGGAAGAACTTGTTTGGTGGGAGGGTGCCCGAGCCCTGGCCCAGGCTGCCCAGGGAGGCTGCGGAGGCTCCTGCTCTGCAGATCTGCCAGCGCGCCGGGATGCGCCCGGGTGCCCCGTGCTCTGGGTGTCCCTGCTGGAGCAGGGGCTGCCCTGGGGGAGCCCTGGGGGTCCCTTCCAGCCTCAGCCACCCTGGGATCCTGGGATCCTAAAAGAGATGTCCAAAGAAGCAAATCGGTTACACTCCAGACGCTCAGGCCCTGGTCCTGGCCTCACCTCATGTTTGTGCCTACGGGYCGGTCCCATCCGGATCCCTCCTTCTCTTGCACAAGGCCACATCAAGCAACACATGAGCAGATCTCCAGCCCACCCAGGACACAACCACATGGGTTCCCTCCTGGTAGGATCACAGGCAAAGCCTCCCTGGGTGGCTTCGCCATATCCTGCCCTTGGCTTCCATGTAAACATTGGCTCTGCTCCCTATGGACACACGGGAGCGACACGCAGGGCCTTTCACTACCTCTTGACCAACCAAAGTCAAGACCAACCCAGAGCAGATGGAAGTCAAGAGCAGACAAAAGCCACTCGGAGCTCCCCAAGGGATGCAGCTCTCCACCCCACCAAGGACCACCCGGCACTMCATCCTGGGAAAGCTGGCATGTGTTTCTGCAGCTGGAGAAACGGCAAGGAACACGGATGTCCCTGCAGGAGCGTGAGCCTGGAGCCCCCATTCCCGACCTGCGGCCCAGGAGCTGTCCTCTCGTCCCGGGATACCCGCCGAGGGCAGCAGGACGTGGCATCAGGAGCAGCCAAGGCCCCTCAGACGTGGGCACCGGAGTGAGCCCAAGCCGGGAATGGCCCGGGGGCCCCTGGCACCAGCTGCCCACGTTTTGGGTGGAAAAGCCCTCCAGGCACAAGCCAGGCTGGGCCAGCTGGCCCCAGGGCTGGAAAACCAGCCTGTGGTGACCAAGTTTCCACCTTCCRACGATCCCCTCCACCCCGCRGGCTGTTTTCCCGCTTGCCCAGCARTCCCACACGTCTCCCGACCTGGCAGGGGACCCGGCTCTGGAAAAGCCATTGGGGAGGCTGCAGCRGGACGGGACCCGCGGTCCGTGACGTGGCCGCCCCAGCCCCGCTGCCCCGGCCCCTCTTAGGAAGCAGCTCCGGGCCACCTCCGTCATCCCAAGGGATTCACTTTAATCCCGCTGCGGACCCGGAGCAGGAGGTGACTCCGCCAGCTTAATCCTCCCGGCAGGATTTGGGATTTGCACCCGGGCGGCAGGCAGCAATTAGCGGGAGAGCGGGAYGGGGCTCGCGGGGCGCCGTTAATCCCCTGCAGCGCTCCCGGCGCCGGAGCCGCTTCCCGGCTTTTGTTCCCTACGTGCACCCGGGGTCACCCCCCCCCCCCCGGCTTCCCAGCCCCTTCCCAGCTTTTCCAGCGCCGCGGCTCGGCCCGGAGCGCCGTGACGCCCGCGCGCCCTATAAAAGCACCGGGGGCTGCGGCCGAGGCGCAGAGGACGGCGGCGGCGGGAGGCGCGCGAGGAAGAGCGGGGGGCGGAGGAAGGCCGGCCGGCAGCCCCAGGTAGGCGCCGCGCTCCGCACAGCCGCTCCCGGCCAAAACGAGCTTTGCTTTTAGTTCATTTTTCTGCATGCAGGATGTTTCTTCCACCACCCACCTCGTGCAGAACTCTTGCAGTGAGTTCAATGCAATTGGTTGGGAAAAAGTTATCCTTATTTTATTTTATTTTATTTTATTTTATTTTATTTTATTTTATTTTACTTCATTTATTTTATTTTATTTTATTTTATTTTATTTTATTTTATTTTATTTTACTTCTTTTCTTTTCTTTTCTTTTCTTTTCTTTTCTTTTCTTTTCTTTTCTTTTACTTCTTTTATTTTATTTATTTTATTTTATTTTATTTTATTTTATTTTATTTTACTTCTTTTATTTTATTTCATTTCATTTCATTTCATTTCATTTCATTTCATTCCCGCGCCAAGCGAGCCGCTCCGGCCGCCAAGGACTTGCAGCCTCCGGATCCGCCGGCCGCTGCATGCATTTTTGCAGCCAACCGGGAAAGCCGTTCGGGACGTTGGGTTTCAGACGCCAACCTCTGCCTTTGGGCTTGATTTCAGTTCAGTTTTAATTAACCACGAATGCTGATTGCATCCTCCCTTCAGCCAAAGGGGCAGCGCCAGAGCTGCAAGCAGAGGCAAGGAGGAGAAGGAGCGGGAGCGGGGAGGGATGCGGTGCCGGGGAGGACAAACTTTGGGAAAGGCAGGTGGAAGAGGCCTGGGAGGGGAGGGAATTGGGCGGGTTTGCCGGTTGCTTTGCAGGCGGCGCAGGATGGCGGGCGCGCTCTGGAGCCTGCCCGTGCTGCTGGCGCTGCTGCTGGGCGCCCCCGGCGCGGCCCGCGCGCCCTGCCGGCCCCGCGGCTGCCCGGACGAGCCCGGCGACCCGGACGCCGCGGTAAGTGCCGGGGGGGACCCCGCGTGGTGCAAGCTGGGGGTGCCGCTCGCGGGGTGACCCGCTGCAGGGGCTGCCTTTGCAATGGGGACGCTGCGGGCGGGGGGTTGCTGCAGGGATCCCCCCGTGGCCCCCAGTGCCTGCGCCCCAGCCGTGTCCCCTGGGCACYGCTGCAGCCCTCCGTGGCGCTGCCTCTCTGCAACGCCACCCAAAGCACCCCGGGGTGCTGGCGCTGCACCGTGCTGCTGCCCTGGGGGTGCCGTGCACGCAGCTGAGTTGCAGCTTCTTGGTGCAGCTGCAACTGGGCTGCAGCACTGGGTGCACATGCAACTGGGCACATGCACCTCCTGGGCACACGTGCAACGGGGTTGCAGCTCCTGGTGCATGTGCAATCGGGTTGCACCTCCTGGGCACACGGGCAGTTGAGTTGCAACTCCTGTGTGCACATGCAATGGGGTAACATTCCCAGGCACACRTGCAAAGGAGCTGCAAAATCCAGAGCACACGGGATTGAACTGCAGCGCCCAGGCCCACGTGCGAGCGAGTTGCACCTCCTTGGTGCACGTGCAATTGAATTGCACCCTCCCAGTGCACGTGTGATTGCATTGCAACCCCTGGGTGCAYGTGCAGTTGAATTGCACCCCCTGGGCACACATGCAATTGAAGTGCAGCATCCTGGTGCACGTGTGATTAAATTATAACCTCTGGGCACATATGCAATTGAATTGCACCTTCCCAGTGCATGTGTGGTTGCATTGCAACCCACGGGTGCAGGTGCAATTGAATTGCAACCCCTGAGCACACATGCAATTGAATTGCAGACTCCTCATGCGTGTGTGATTAAATTGCAACCCCTGGGCGCACATGCAATTGAAYTGCACCTTGCCASTGCACGTGTGATTGAATTGCAACCCCTGGGCGCACATGCAATTGAATTGCACCTTGCCAGTGCATGTGTGGTTGAATTGCAACCCCTGGGCGCACATGCAATTGAACTGCAGCCTCCTCATGCATGTGTGATTGCAACGCCTGGGCGCACACGCACGTGGCGCGGGTGACGGTGCGACCGCAGTGTCCCATGCAGCGTCCCGCCRTGTCACCACCCAGGTGTGCGCATCGTCGTGCCGCGCGGCGCTGTCGGCCGAGGCGCCCGTGTACCCGGGCAACGGGCACCTGCAGCCGCTCTCGGAGAGCGTCCGCAAATACGTCATGAGCCACTTCCGCTGGAACAAGTTCGGCCGCGGCGGCAGCAACAGCAGCGGCGGCAGCGGGCGCAAGCGGCACGAGGCGCCCGCCGGCGGCGCCGCGGCCCCCGTGGGCGCCGAGGGCGCCGGGCCCGAGCGGGAGGCCGCCAAGCGCTCCTACTCCATGGAGCACTTCCGCTGGGGCAAGCCCGTGGGCCGCAAGCGGCGGCCCGTCAAGGTCTACCCCAATGGCGTGGACGAGGAGGCGGCGGGCGAGGGCTTCCCGCTGGAGGTGCGGCGGGAGCTGCCGGCGCGCGGCGATGAGGATGACGACGAGGGGGCGGGCGGCGCGCGGCACCTCGGCTGGCGGGCGCCGCTCAAGGACAAGCGCTACGGCGGCTTCATGGGCGCCGAGCGCGGCCGCGCCGCGCTGCTCACGCTCTTCAAGAACGCCATCGCCAGGAGCGCCTACAAGAAGGGGCACTAGCGGGGCGCGCGGCGCYGCGGTGCTCTGGGGCGCCCGCCCACGCACCCCAAAGCGCCTCCCCTTGGGGACGCTCCTTCGCCCCGCTCGCAGCCCCACGGCCGGGCAGGAATGAGGGCGGCAGCGGAGCGGCGCGTGGCCACAGCACTGTTTATTTGCCAAGGGCGCGACGATGGTGCGTGATGGGGAGAGGGGCAGCGCGGCGGCCCCCCGGCCCCCYGCCTCCGCACCGGCTTCATAGAAATATACCTTAGCCTATGTTATATACACCCACGCATGTATATATTACCTGGGGGGGCACAGCGGGGTCCTGAAAGGGCCACAATGGGGGAGAAAGCCCAGGGGACCCCCAGGGAAGGGGGAGATGGGGCAAAGGAGCGAGCGGGTCTCCAGCCAGCACCTCCTTTGCCAGCGCTGTCCCGGTCCAGCCCCTACTCCCAACGGGACCATCCGTGGCCCCTCCAAGGACCCCAAAGGCGGCCCGGAGGAAGAGGAGGACGGGAGCCCTCATCCCGCGTGGCGTGTCCGGCGGTGCCGTCCTGCTCAGTACACGCACAGGTCTGGGAACTTCATCTCGTACACGGGGATGGAGTGGCTCTGCGGCTGCCCGTACGCCGCCGTGATGGTGCCCGAGGGGCTCGGCGGCGGCCTGGGGGGCACAGAAGGAYGGGGTGGTTGGCAGGGATGCGAAGGCCAACGCGGGCACATCCCGTGCAAAGGGACACCCTTGGGACCCCCCGCTCACCGTATGGTGATCTCGAAGATCTGGTTGAGCTTGCTCTGCAGCAGCGTGGCCTGCAAGGGAGGGAGGGCGGCGGTGGCGGGYGGCTGCGGTGCGACGTGGCGGGCACCGCCGGGGCGCCCCACTCACCCGGGCGCCGCAGTGCGCGGCGATCTCCTCGAAAGGCGCCTTCTGGAACTTCTCCACCACCTGGCGCCTCCGCTCCCGCTCCTGCTCCTCCACGGCCACGCTGTCTGCTGGAGCGCGCGTGGACGGATGGTGTCCCCAGGGACCCCGGCACCACGGGCACACGCACGGGGACGGGTGCCCTGGCCCCGCGGAGGCACCCAGCAGCCCCAGGCCTGGGTGCCTCCCTTACCTATGGCCTTCTTGAGCGTCTCGTAGGTGATCTCCTCCGCCGGGGCTCGCTGATGGAAGGGAAAAAAGCAGCCGGGGTTGGAGGCACAAGTGGGGACGGCAGCTCGGGGTCCCCCGTGGCCGTGGGGACCGCAGCTCGCCCCGGAGCAGYGCCCAGCGCTGCATTCCTGCCCGCCCTTGAGGAGCAGGGATTGCTCCTGGCACCCTGGCTTGTGCCTATGTGATCTTCCAGGCTGGATTACCCTGCTTTCCTCCCCAAACGCTCCCATAGCTACAAAGCTATTGCTACACACACAGGGAAAATACAGATTTACCAGCAGCAGGAAACCTTCCTCCTGCACTGGGGATGATGATGGGACCAGTTCGGACATGCAGGGGGGTATTGGGGGCTCGTCCGTGCAGCCAAAGGGAAAATTTGAGAAAATCTGAGGGTTTATCATGCCAAACTGGGGCCCCCCTAGTCCAGCGCGCCACAGTACCTCCTCACGCTCAGGGCTGTTCCTCGACTCCACCTCGACCTGCAGGGAGATGGTCTCGCCGATGCTCTTCCTCTTGGAGAGGCGATCCTCGTCTGCAGAGGAAGGCGCGGGAGGTGAGCGCAGCCACCCCGGGGCGGCCGCCTCGTCCCCACGGCGGCCCCGGGGGACACGGACCTGTCAGCTGGGGGATGTAGGGCGTGCTGAGGCGGTCCGAGTTGTAGCCGCTGCCCCCCAGCACCTCGCTGATCTTGCTCTGCCGGAAAAACACCTCGGGGCCGAGGCGGTCCAGGCTCCTGCTCAGCCTGTGGGGAGAAACCCCCGGAAAATCCCAAATGAGCCCTGAGCCGGGGCGAGCGCGGGCACCCAGTGCCGCCCTTGGAGCCTCTCACCTGGGTCTCTCCACAAACACATCCTCGGGGAGCAGGTACGGAGCCTCCTTCTGCCGCATCTGGATGACCTGGGGAAGGGAAGCGGGGAGCCGAGCTGGCGATCCGGGCGAGCGGCGGCGGCTCCGACACCGGCGCCGTGGCCCGGCCCGGCCCGCGCACCTCGTGGACGTGCTGGCAGAAGGTGGGCACGGTGGTGAGCTGGCTGAGCAGGTTCAGGTAGGCGGCGCCCAGCGCGTACAGCGCGCAGCGGTTGTACGCCGGCAGGTTGTCCTCGTTGATCTGGGCGATCTCCTGCAGCGGCGACACGGTTCCAGAGGGTGGCCATGGCCACAGCACCACATGGGTTCCCACCATGGCGTTTCAAAGGCCTCTGGGGTTCACGTGGATTCCCAGACTCCAAAACTGGTGCAAAATCCCCACCACGGCTCCAGAAGCGGTGCAAAATCTCCACCGGGACTCCCCAAACGGGCTCARCCCTTGCTGCGTGTTGCTGGTCAGCATCACCAGCACAAGGCCACCACTAGCCCTTGGCCACCTCTAAGCCCGCTTTGCTCACACCCTCCACAAGCCCCTCCAGGCCACCCTGGCCATGGCCATGGTGCCACCATGGGGTACGTGCCCCCCAGGGTGCTCAGCCATGCGCCTACCTGCACCGCGAGCACGAGGCGGATGAGGTCCACCACGACCTCCTCGTTGGCCAGCTCGATGCTGATGAGCACCAGCATGCTGTAGAGCGCCTCGTAGTGAGCCTGCACGTTGCTCTCCTCCTTGCACGTCAGGTAGATGTGGCGGTAGAGCTGCTGGGCGTGCTGCAGGGACAGGGACAGGGAGGCGGGTGGTCACCTCACGAGCAGCTGCTCCCAGTATTGCCACCTTAACTAGCCAAGCAGGAGAAAGAGCGGCTGGGCCACGCAATGGGATGCCCGGGAAAGGAGAATCCCAGGGGAAAGGTGCCAAGGAGCTGCAGCCTGGAGCACAGCAGGGAAATGAAGCCCCGAGGCACCATGAGGGGCTCCAGTGGCAGAGGGGTCTTCACCACCTCTGAAGGTGTTTGGAAGAGCAGACACCATCCCTTGAGGGAAAGAGCASGTTTGGGGAGCTCCAAGTATTGGGTACTGATGCTGCTGATGAAAACCCACCAGCTTTTCCTAGGGATATCCCCAAGGTTGGAAGCACCATCCCTCCCATCCCGAGAACAGCTCGATCCCAGGCCCCAGTGTTACCTTCTTCATGAAGACAGTGTCCTGGCGCGAGCACTTGTCCACCTTCAGCTTCAGCACGGAGATGTCGCTGATGGTGCTGCAAGGAAAGGTCAAGGGAAGCCCGGGCAGGACGTGGGCTCCCGTGTGCTTCCAGAGCTCCCGCTCAGGAATGAGCTGTCCAGGAGGACGTGAGGTTGGGAAGCCAGCTTGGAGGTGGGTTTGGAAACCAAGCTGAGCATTTTGGACATCCAGGAGTCTCGAGACAAGTAGGGTTTACACATAGAAATGCGAACAAAAACGCACACACAAAATGGACTGGCAGGACAGTATCAAACCTCATGGAATACCCTCATCCGGGATTACAGTGGCCTTAGGAAGCAGCTTCTCCAGGGCACCAACCAAAGCCAGCGTGGGCAGCGCCGGCCCATGGGGACACACCGCGACCGAGGAAGCCACCAAGGCGGATACCTGATGGTGGAGAACTTGTGGCGGTTCCCGTGGCGGTCGATGAAGCTGATGAGGATCTCGAGGACAAAGAGGCGGATCTCGGCATCCTCCATGAGGGCAGCAGAGAGCAGCCTGTCCAGGAAGGAGCTGGGAAGCGCCGTGAGCATGTTGCTGCACTGGAAGCCCAAGGAGACCTGTCGAGTCAGGGAGGAAGGGGGACAGGTGACACTGCCACTTGGGRGGGTTAAAACACACCGGAGAAACACAGGTGGAGGAGACCAAGCGGTTCAGGCTCCRTGGATGCAGGGATGGCGACGTACCTGGAGGAGGGACTTGAGGAGCATGATCTGTGTCAGCCGATTGCGGTTCTCGCTGCGGGGGAGAGAGGAAACGAATGGTAAAACCGGGTGAAAATGCAATCCTCCTTCTGCACCCAAAGGGTAGAAAAGCATTGGAAACGGCAGGAACAGCTCCAAAGTCTCCCGGCACGTCCCGCCTGGCACGCAGCTGGCAGCAGATCCAGGGAATCACCCCATGGCAGAATGGGATCACTGCTGGCTCACGGTAGCTCTGCTCCCGTGTTTCTTCCACACATGTGGCGTTTGGGTGGGAGCCTCTGGCTCCCGCTCGGCACTGCCAAAAGCTCCCAAAGGAAGGCAGGGAAAAGGCCTCGGTGCTCACCCGGCTTTGCCGGCTTCAATAGCCTGGTGCAGCGAGGGCAGCGGCACCTTGCTCATGATGAAGAGCATCACCTCGGAGCGCTGGTAGGTGGGCAGCGTGCTGGCGAAGGAGCCTGCGGGGACAAGAGCGCGCGGGCAGCGGCCGGAGCGGGCGCRCACCGGCCACTCCTCGCTGCCCTTTCCTTCGGATGCTTCCAAGCCCTGGGAAAAGCAGCCCTGCAAAAGGCCCCTTCCTCCTCCAAAACCCTCCATCTGGCTGGGGGCTCTGCTCCCACCTGCCCTCTCCTTCCTCCTCCTCCTCCTCTCCCTTTCCCTAAGTGAGCAGAGGATTCCCAGGGGAATGTCCCACCTATGGTCTTGATGACGGCCTCCTGGAACATCCTCTCCTCGTGCTCCTTGATGATCTTGGCGCTGGCGGCGCCGTCGTAGCTCCCGGTGAGCGCGTAGTCGATGCTGAGGCGCAGCTGGCGCAGCAGCGTGTTAAACACCTCCAGCACCGTGGGGCCTGCGCCGGAGGGAAGCGAGCGCACCGCGGGCTTAACCTCTCCGGCAGCGGGAAAGGGGGCTCCGAGGCTCCTTCGGCCGCAGCCACGTGCATGGAAAAGCCTCGGGAAGGGGTCACATCCCCGCCCGGGAACGCGTTGCCCAGCRCTTACCCACGGAGCCGGAGGCGGCGATGACGGCCGCCTCGGAGAGCACCTCCACGATGCCGGCGCGCACCGTGGCCGCGCTCTTGCTGTTGGCATCCAGGTGCCCCAGGAGCTGCTGGATCACGAGGTGCGAGTGCTGCGGCTGCGGGGGGAGCGACGGCGTTGGCGCCAGGCTGCCACGGGGCACCATTCGGCCCCTGACCACCCGGCCCCTTCGCTGACAAAGTCAGTTTGATGCCAAGGAGCAGTTTGCCCTGCAGGCCCCATCCTAAGGGGCTCTGCAGATCTACGGATGTGGTGGTTAATCCAGGGAAGGGATTTGGGTTTTGCCCGGGTTTCCCCAGCGYGTCTCTGCTCGCTGAGGACCCCGCCGCGTTGCCGCGACCCCCTGCTTGGAAGATGCATTAACGGGATTTGGCAAAATCCAATCRGGCTGTAAGGGGCTTTAGGCAGTTTACGGGATTAGAAAGACGAGGCGAGAGGCGGGAAGTGGGACGATGCACATGGAAGCAGCCCCTGAGCAGAGCCGCTGGGAAAAGAAGGATCCGCATGGGAAAAGGGACCAGTTCCAGCACAAGGGGCACTGCCCCAAGGGACACTGCAAGACCAGGGCTGCCGGCGAGGGGGGAACATCCCSTTTTGGGGCATCCTCCAACCTGCTGAGGGTCTGGGGGCTTTGGGGACAGGCTGGGGGCCGAGCCTGCCATGAGCACCCGGGACCCGTTAAGTTGCTGACCACCCACCTGGATCGAGTACATGATGATCTTGAAGCAGCGGATGGCGAAGACCTTGGGCTCCCACAGCGTGTGGTTATCCAGGTGGCTGCAGAGGGAGGGCATCAGGGAGGGACAGACCCACGGACAGGAGCAGCCCCACATCCCCAGGGATGGTCCAGGGCGGCAGGGAGCAATGGCCAGGCCCCYGTGCCTCAGGTTCCCAGAAAAGGCCAAAAATGAGGGGGGCGGGATTTGCACAGGGATGGTGCTCACGTGGGGATGGTTCTTGCACAGGGACAATTCTCACATGGGGATGGTTCTTGGTTGGGCATGGTTCTCACACAGGGACAGATCTCACATGAGGATGGTTCTTGCATGGGGACAATTCTCAGACGGGAATGGTTCTCACATGGGGACGGCTCTCACATGGGGATCGTTCTTGCACAGGGACAGTTCTTGCATGGGGACAATTGTTCTCACATGGGGACAGTTCTCACATGAGGATGGTTCTTGCACAGGACCAATTCTCACATGGGGATGTTTTGCACACAGGGACGGTTCTCACGCTGGGGAGGTTCTTGTGTGGGGATGGTTCTCACATGGGGACATTTCTCCTACAGGGATGGTTCCCGCACAGGGACAGCACTCCCGTGAGGACGGGCCTCCCATGAGGACGGCACTCACATGAGGACGGGCTTGATGGCGTTCTTGATGTTGCCGTAGGCGGCGCGGCCCAGCAGCTCCCGCAGGCAGCGCTCCGCCAGCTCYGTGGGACTCTCCTTCTCCTTCTCGGCGGCTTGCAGCGGCGAGGGCGAGCGGCTGCGAGGCRCCCGTGAGCCTCCAGGGCATGGCAGGGCAGAACAGCCCCCCGTGCCCGGGTTTGGTGCCCACCCCGGACAATAAGCAGGTAGGTAACAGGGCGCTCACCTCTCGGCCTCCTCGGCGTGCTGCAGGTTGAAGAGCAGCGAGGGAACRATCTTGTCCATGTGCTGCGGGTCCCAGATGTTGGCCTGGAGCTCGTCATTCACCGTCTTCCTCACCACCCCCTGCAGGCCTTTGATGCCGGACATCCGGATCCTGGGGGATAAATTGGCAGAGTGACACTACACATAGATATATGTATAGCAATAGACATATAAAAAATACATATTTTATATTTTTATACGTATGCACACAGAGGCATGGGTGAAACTGTGCAAGCAGTTGGGGAAACCTAGACACCTTCAGCCATTCGGATCATTTAGGGGTCTAAATACACCAAGTCTTTGGTAAAAACCTCCCCGTGCAGCGAGACACCCGGAGCCCGGCCCCGGATTCCCGCCGGGAGCCRGGATGTCCCGCACTCACTTGGTGCGGACGTCGGGGTCATCGTGGCTGGAGTGGCACATCTCGCTGAAGCGCGACACRAAGAAGTCGTAGCTGCGGTGGTAGGACGGCGTGTCCTCCTCGATGTTGGCAAACTTCACAAACTGGGAGGGCAGGAGGAAGAGGGGAGGTGAGTCCTGCACCCCCCGCYGCTGACAAAGCAGCTGGGAGCAAGGAAAGATCCAGGGGGAGATTCCCGCGCCGGCTCCGAGCGGCAGCGCGAGGAGCAACGCGGCGGCTGYGGAGGGAAAACGCGGCCGGCTATAAATACACCAGACACGAACACGTCAGACGGCGGCAGAGGGGGAAGAGCTGCTTAAATTAAAGCCCGGCATCGATCCGAGGGGGAAAATAAAAATAAACCGGGAGCGGCATCGAGCTGGGAAGCCCAAGGAGCGGGAGGGGGGGCCGCCCGGGCTTTGCATTCCCCAAATTCCCACCTGGGCTTCCCCGGGAGGCGCCGTGCCGAGGCCCCGGCAGGCTGCCAGCTCCGAGCGGGCGGTCGATGCTGCGGATTAATAGCTCTGCCGATGGGCAACGGGGAGGGAAGCGGGCAGCGAGGTCGGTGCTCGGYGTCGGGTGGCCCGTGGGACCACGAGCGCCCCCGAGACCCCAAATGTGAAGGCTGGACTGGTGTTTGCCCACATTTCCCTGCATTTTCTTGCATTTCCTGGTGTCTCCAGTAATTCCATCCCTTCCCAAAGAGGATCTCAATCCTTTCCGAGCACCAAGGAGGGATGCTCGGGATGCCCGTGAAGGCTGGACTGGTGTTTTCCGACATTTCCCTGCATTTTTTTGCATTTCCCAGCATCTCCAGTCGCTGCATCCCTTCCCAAAGAGGATCTCAGTCCTTGTGGAGCGCCAGGGAGGGATGCTTGGGATGCCCGGCAGCCTCTGCGCCCAGCCCGGCTCCCGGGTGCATCGCGCCAGCCCATCTAGCATTCCCAGTGCTCCCAGCAAAGAGCCTGGGATCCTCCCAAACTGCCGGCGCTTTCCCACTGCTGCCAATGTGAAGCCACCCTTTGCCAGAGTGGCTCCCAAAATCCACAGGGATCACTTCCTAAATGGCTCCATTGCCCCCAAAGCGCTGACAGCCCCGGGGCTCCTTGGGGACAGGAAACCCGGAGGGGTGGAGGGGAATGGCCGGGGCCGGGGGGTCCCCGCGCGGCGCTCACCGAGTTGGTGCCCAGGATCTGCAGGTTGGGCTTCTCCGACTCCAGCAGCTTGGCCACCATCTTCAGGAAGCTCTCCACGAAGAGGTTGATGCTCTGGCAGTGGCAGGCCATGAGGAGCTGGTCGAGCGCCTCCATGGCGATGCAGACGTACCTGTGGGGCGGCACCGGCACCGCTCATCCCGGYGCTGGGACACCCCCAGGTGCTCCTGGAAAAATACAGCCCAGCAGACCCCCCAACCTTAACCTCCCTCCCAAGAGAARGCTGGGGAAAGCTGCGACTTTGGGAGATTCTCTGGTGTCTCATAGTGCGGTTGAGCTTATCACCTTGAAGTTCCTCCCAGTACTGCAAAAATAAGCCTGGTTTCGGCACCTCTGAGTTTCCTACTCACCTGTCAAACAAGGCTAAAATTGGTGCAGAGTGGAGAAAAACAGGAGAAAATAAGTATGCGGAGGTGAACAACAGTCAGAAGGGARTATCTGGCTGGTTTTGCTTGGGAAGAAGGCTGGAAGCGGCACTCATGACCRCCTGGGACACGTCTGAGTGCCGGAGGGGCCGGTGGAGCCGCGGGAAGCGGCGCCCGGAGGCGGCCCTTACCCGTAGCGGTGCCGGCTGACGTCCCGGATGAGGCGCTCGGACAGGTAGGCGCCGATGCGGTCCAGCTTTTCCGGGGCGGACAGGGCGTAAAACGTCAGCTTCTCCATGTTGGTCTTCACCAGGCCATCCTGCAAGAGAGCAGCTGGCGCCGGGCTCCGTCCGAGCGGCCGCCCGGGCATGCCCCGCATCCCGGCGGAGCCTCCCCGCTCACCTCCGGGTCCTCGGGGAAGATGTTGTCCACGAGCCTCTTGTAGCGGGGCCGCAGGGCACCGCAGCAGCCGCAAACGCCTGCGGGATGAGTGGAGACTGAGTGTCCCTCCTCCCAGCCCTTCCTCTTCCAACCCAAAGTCCCATTCGGGATATCTGGGGGGGTTTAGGGATGCAGAAGGGATGCTCAGGTCACCATGCCCTTCCCTCGCAGTCCTTCCCTTTCTAACCCAATATCCCATTTGGGATATTTGGAGGGTTTTACGGATGCAGAAGGGATGCTCAGGTCACCATGCCCTTCCCAGCCCTGCGGAGTGACATTCCCAGCTCCCGGAGTGGGAGCAAGCGGCGCCGCCRGGCCCGGTGCCAGCCCCGCGTGAGAAACTGCACACACACAAAACAAGAGGGGAATAAGCAACGGGAGCGACACAAAGGGGCTCCGGCGCTCGGGAGCAGCCGCTTAAACAAACGCGGGGAGTTTTTGGCGGCGGCTGCTGAGTCACGGAGCGGCCGGGCCGCYTCGCTCCCCGCGACGCCGCAACACGGAGCGGGATACGGAGCGGCGCCTGGGAATGGGGCACGAGGAGTGGGAACGGGCCGCAGCCCAGGCGGGCACCCCTGGCACTGGCATCCGCGCGCCTTCCTCGTTAATCCAGCAGCCCTCTTTTAATTGCGGCGCGGCCAGAGCCTGCGGGTGGCTCCTCTGTGCAAAACCGGCGAATTGAGGTTGCAAATGTTCATTAAATGCGCCCAAATGTTCATTAAATGCGCCAAAATTCTCATTTATCCTCCCCGATCCGTCCTTGCCGCTGCCCGCTCCGGTGGCAGCCGGATTAATTAACGTTTCACAGCGGTGATTAGTCTTGGGTATGAAACCCGTGTGGACGCAGAGTGGCTCCAGTGGGAAGGATTCRGGAATGGGGGGTAAATCACAGCACTGCAGTGCCCAGAGTGGGGCAAAACCCTGCGCTCCCATGGGGACAAATCGGGCAGAGGGAAGTTGTGCAGCTCAGAGGCTGGTTTTGAACCTGAATTGTCACCACTGGGAAAAAAAAAAGAGGAAAAAAAAGGGAAAATGAAGAAAAGAGAGCGCAGCATCTCGGCAAGCGCCACGTCTTGCACAATCCCCCGTTGCACAAGCGGCCGCCGGCCCCGACGGGCTCCGGACGGAGCYGACACAGCGGGCGACTCCGGATCCGACGCGGAAAGCGGGCGGCGGAGGCGCGACGCCGCCGAGGACACCGCGTTATTTTGCAAATAATATGAGAGAGAGGGGAAAAAGAGACCTGAAGTGCATCTCCTATCAACGCCAGCACCCGGGTAATCCGTCCCACGGCTGGGAGACGGTTCAGAGGAGAGATTAAAAAGATACCGATAATCCCGGCCCTGCCTAATGCGCTGCTCATCCCGAGGAGCCCCCGGAGCTCCGCGGCTCCGGGATGTTCCGCAAGCGCCGGCGGAGGAAGGGCCCCAGGGCCGGTCCCAGTAAGAGCCCACGGTGCCCAGGGACATCAAGGGCGTCCCGGTGTCCCCAAGTCCCTGTCATCCCCCTGCACCAGCGCATGGAATCCCGCGTCCCGCGCGGATGCAGGAGCCAAGCGGTGTTCCGCGCTTCAGAGGTTCAGAAGCTCCCTGCAAATTCCTGCTTTGCGGGCAGCCCTAATCGCCCGGGAAAAGCAAATAAATAAAATAGATGTATAAATAAATATAGATAGATAAATGGGAGCCAACCTGGACGCGACTCGGACTCGCAGCGCTGGCCCTGGCCCCGGACGGGCTCTGGGAACGGGACAAGGATGCGCCGGTGCTGGCGGATCCGCTTCCCGGCGTCCGGATGCCCCCCRCGAAGGGAGCCGCGTGTCGTCGCTGTCCCCCCCGCTCCCTGCCCTCCCCTTTTTCGTTTTGCGGGTGGAAAAATACCAGCCGGGAGACCTGGATGACTCAACAGCGGAGCGGGAGGAAGAGGAGAGCGGAGGAAGCCGGGCGTCCTGCAGCCCCCTGCTCCGAAGCCACCGTCGATCCCGCTGCTCCCTGGCGCGGGGACCCCAGCCAGGCCGGGAGCATCCGCAGGGAAGGATGCTCAGGCAGCGGGGATTTATTACGCCCCCCCCTTCCCGGGCTTTGGTCCCCGGATTCTTCCGGGAATAATGAAAAATAAGCTCGGAGCGGCTTAGCGCGACCCGCTGCCCCGCGCCGGGGGGGCCCGCTGTGCCCGCCACATGTTCCCCATTAGGCGCAGGGTGCCGGCACCCACGGAGGGATGTGATGCCACCCGCGTGTCCCTTATCCCGGGGGACAAGGGCACACCCCCAAAGCCATGGAGGAGCAGGGCGCCACATAGGTCCTAGATGAGGGGGGAAAAGAGGGAAAACGGGAGGGCAACGGGCTGGGAGAGGGGCCCGGGGGCCGTGCGGGCGATGCCGAGCGCCGGCGCGCGCGGGTCCCGGGCGGCGCCGGTGGTTCCCGCTCCCGCCGCCGCCCACTCACCGTACATGGCCCCGGTGCGGTTCGGCTCGGTGCGGTTCGGCGCGGCGCCGGTTCGGCCCGGCCCGGCTCTGCCCCCCGCGCCGGCCGGGGGCGGCTCCGCGGCGGCGGCTCCTCCCGCCCGCCCCGCCCCGCCCCGGGGCCGCCGCCACCGGGCGCCTCCCAGCCGCGGAACCGCCGGGGCCCAGAGCGGCCCGGGGACGGGGGAGATGTGCAACGGGAAGGGGGATACAGGGAGACTTGGGAATGCTGGGGTTAACGGCGCGCGCTGGACCTGCCCAGAGCAGCTCCCGGGCCCCGGGAGGACACGAGGTCCCTGCTCCGCGCCGTGACGCTGCCGTGTGAGGCCCCCGGCGCCCTTCCCTGGAGGAGCTCCGGCATTCCCAGCTCCGGACGCCCAGGGAGATGCTCCAAGCAGGGCCCGGCCTCGCCCGCAGGGGCCGCGCGAGGATGGCGCCTCYTTGCCCGCTCCACGGGCAGCGAGGGCCGCTCGAGGCGCCAGGAGCCTCCAGGGCGCCCGGGGACWGCCGGGGACACGGAGCGGGACGCTCCCATCCCTGCGTGGCGGCCCGGGGCGCTGCCCGCCGGCCGAGCGCCTTGTCCTTTCCGAGCTCTCCCACCGGGCCCAACCCTCGCCTGAGGCCACAGCGGGCCCCGGGGAGGCACCGAGGGGACAACGGGGCAGGACACGGCCCTGCCACCCGCCACGGACAACGGCCGCCCCGCCTGGGGCGCTCCCGGGCCGCGCGGAGCCTCATGGCGCCGGCGGCACCGAGGGGGCCCGGGCGTCCGGGCCTCAGCTCTACCCGCCCCCGCGTAGCCGTTAGCGCTGCTGGCCCCGCCCCCCGCGTAGCCGTTAGCGCCGCTGGCCCCGCCCCCGCGTAGCCGTTAGCGCCGCTGGCCCCGCCCCCGTGTAACCGTTAGTGCCGCTGGCCACGCCCCCCGCGTAGCCGTTAGCGCCGCTGGCCCCGCCCCCCGCGTAGCCGTTAGCACCGCTGGCCACGCCCACCGCGTAGCCGTTAGCGCCACTGGCCACGCCCACCGCGTAGCCGTTAGCGCTGCTGGCCACGCCCCCCGCGTAGCCGTTAGCGCCACTGGCCACGCCCCCCGCGCTGGCCATGCCCCTCCCGTCAGGGGGAGGCGGGCACGGGCGAGGTCTCG